AACCACTTCTCCCAATCAGTACTAATTGAATGTTTTTAGATCATTCAAATCGGATGCTCCGTTCTCTCAAAAACTCGATTTCTATTTTCTGCACTCTTTGCTCTTTATCTCCGTAACTGCTGGACCTGCATTTGCCAAAAACTAATCAGCACATCTCCTTATCAATAGGAATCGAATGTTTTTTGAACCATTGAAATCGGTTGATCCGTACGCCCGAAAACGTGGGCGAAAAATTGTATCCATACATACATACACACACACACATCCATTTTTTCTGAAGTATGCCAAAATGTTCAGAAACCTACAAAACGTCGAGAAATGTAAAAATTTTCAATTCCGATTTTCGGCCCAATACAATAACTTACCCTACGGGAAGTTAATTAATTATACAAAAATACACTACACTATCACACGGTGATAAACTAAGCTATTATTAACTGGAACATTTAAACTAATTATTATCGTTAGTAGACGTTATTATCTTGTTTATCTTGAAATTTCTTATGTTGCTTCTTTGAAACTTGTTTCTTCTGGTTGTAATGGTACTGTGAATCCATAATCAGAATTGTACAGAATAATTTTAGTAAATGTCCTTGTTTCAGCCCAGGAAATATATTTTGAAATATTTGAGTTTGGTGTTGTATTATTATATTTATATATAACTATTTAGTTTGGTTGTTGGTATTATTTTATTATTTTACTAAAAACATATGTTTGCCGGTCTTTTTACACTTTCGCAAAATTTGTAAACACAATTCATTCAGTATTCAGACGTTAGTCACTCTGTACACACTAGAACGTAACCAAAAATTGTCAAAAAATAATTAGTTTAAATGTTCCAGTTATTAATAGCTTGGTTTATCACAGTGTAATAGTGTAGTGTATTTTTGTATAATACATTTCTGCAAGTATTTATATATAAGTACTATAACTTTATATTATTTTCTTTCTACATCATATAAAATCTTTTAGTTTTTCCACTGAATGACGGTCTCGATGAAGACCGAAACGTATGGATAAATAAAGTATTTCAAAACTACTTTAGTTTTTTTTACTTGGTGTTACTGCCCGATTCTAAATAACTCATCAAAATATATATCAACACCAAACTCACATATTTGAATATATATATATATATATATATATATATATATATATATATACATATATGTAGGGTGCGGTGGACAGACGTGGGCCACCCGAATAACCTTAAGACTAGTGACATGTATGTAGAACCGCGCACTGTACAGAGAAATGCGCTAAGAATTTCGTCGAGAAAGTTTTTACCGTCGTACGGGCTTACGTGATTTGTCATTGAATTTTCTCGAGAAAAAATACAAGTAAATATGCAATATATTATATAGACATATAATATTTGAAATGCAAAGTGATTTTTGCCACTTGTTCACATTGTGTTTTTGTGAGATGTATATGCAAAAAAGGAGTTTTTAGATAGAAGTGGGCCACTATTTGTGAACAGACATGGGCCACTTGCGTGATGCCGTTTTTTGCACAGTGAATTTTGCATCGAACGCTTTATTTACTTATTTTTATCACTTCAGTCATCATGCATCCTAAAAAAAACAGGAAACTCCCAAAAAAGTGGCGAATTATGAAAAATTTATTATTGCCATGAAGGAAGTCAAAATAAATAAAACATCGGAGCGTGTTGCTTCTGCTGTTAGCAACCTTAGCAGATAGTCTTTTCAGCGCATCATCACATCCACTAAAAACAGAGAGGTCGCGGCAGAAGCATCACAGCATCAAAAATAGCAAGTACTAACAAAAGTTCACAAGAAAGCCAATACTTCACAATCAGCTGTGAGATAATGCAAAAAAAGAAAGTTCTCGATTTCTTCAAATGAAGATATCGATTTTTGCATGATTTGTAATAAATTGATGTCGGCAAAGATGACAAGAAATAACTCCATCGATAACTGCGACAGACCCTTCCACTTGACGTGCGTCGATATGACCAACTGCACCGATTTGACGTGCATCAATTACGCCTAGAATCTGTGCTTGAATGTTGCAAAATGTTTTTTTCAACAATTTTCTTATTCCAACTTTATTACTTCTTTCCAGACATTTAATGAACATTTTTACTGAAGTCACTGTTTTTTTCAATTTCTACCCTTCATTTCGTGCCAACGATTTTAAATTTTGTAAATTTGACAATAAACTCATAATCAGCGTGTTTAAAAGCCCTCACGGTAAGAAATTAAATCATATAGCAGCATTTTTTCAGATAAAAATTTCGGGGGCTCTTTTTCAGAAAACACGGTAAATACTTTTTTTGCCATTCAAAAATAGAAATAGGAAACATCTGCTATGACAAAAAGTTGCATTTTGGAGTAACCTTCTAACAACAAAAAAACTAGTTGGTATTGATATTATGCATTAAGGCAAGTTACATAAACTTTCCGATTTGTGTAAATAATCGACTTAATCCATGATAGATAAATTAATTTATGAGTAGTTAAAAATATTCGAAGTGGATTTATTACACATTATTGAAAAACATGTCAACCCGATCGGAGTATTTTTTAAAAGCAAATTTTCAACAATCAATAATTTTAATAATTAAGCCAGTTTTTTGTAGGACTTTAATTGTTTAGTATATTCATTAAGAACAAGTACTCTATCATTATACCAAGTAAATCGTCTAATTTTAATTTTAGCAAACTAATATCTTCCGAACAGTTTTTGATTTTTTTAAATCGATTCGGTAGTATGAGCTTAAATGTGGATGAAAAGTTTAACACTTTTTTCCAAATGACAAAGAAACGGCTTGGCAGATCGTCGCAAAAAACTGGCAAACGATAGTCCTCAACGAGATACATCTAATGGCTTTTAAATTTCTGAAATCGGTTCAGGCGTTTTTGAGCAAACGTCGATGAAAGTTCTAATTTTGACAAATGCCAAAAAGACCATATTAATTTTTGCAAACTTTTGCGAATTTTTAAAACTAAACGAGTTGCCGTAGGGCCGTAATATTTTAGTATGATCTAGAAGACTATGGTATCTACCGTCAAAAAACTAATAATAAAAATCGACGAAAAAAGTTTTTTAACACAAGAAAACGGCCCGGCCGATCTCTACCAAAAACTAATCAGCACGATTCCCAACCGATATCTTTCGAACGGTTTTTGAATTTTCAAAATCAATTCAGAATTGCGGGCTAAAACGTAGACGAAAAATGTTTCACTTTTCTGCGATTTATAAAGAAGCGACTTGGCCGATCGTCGCACAAAACTGACAAACAATAGTCATCATCGAGAGCCATTTTTGAGAAAACATCGATATACGGCAAAAAAATCTGTTCACACACACATATACTTTTTCCAAATTTGGTCTCATTCGATTCAGAATGGCTTGAAACGTCGAGAAAACATAAAATTAGCGAATCGGATTTCTTGATGAAAACATAAACTTCACCTTCGGTTAAAAAATTAAGAAAATATTTTCATTTTTACAACAAAAATAATAATGTGGCCCACTTCTGTCCACCGCACCCTATATATATATATATATATATATATATATATATATATATATATAGAGAGAGATATATATAGATATAGATATATATATATATAGAGATAGATATATCTATAGATATATATATATATATATATATATATATATTATATATATATATATATATATATATATATATATATATATATATATATTATATATATATATATATATATATATATATATATATATATTCAGGGCCGGTCCTGCCTTGCATGCGATGCATGCAAAAAATGCGGGCGCACGCCTTAGGGGGCGCCAAAACGAGTTTCGGAAATTAAATTTATAATATAATATTTATATTTTTTTATATAAAATCTAGAATTATTTGTATAAAATCTAGAATACTTAATAAATTATAATAAACGATCTAACTTAACTAGGGATACGGAGACACAAAAAGCATATTCATTTTGCAATGTGATATCAGTAGAAACAATTAATCGATTAATAACTCTGCAAATTAGTAAATAACAGCCCTGTTTATTGCTCAATCTACTAATTCATTTTTTTCTTTGAAGTCACGGTGGAATCAAAAAAGATAATATCTAGTGTTCAATCCCATAAGCGCAAACCTGCAAAAGATTAAATTAATTACTGGGCATTATTGACGAATAATTGCGAGCTGATTTAGTTGAAACGGAACTTATTAAAAAATATAAAAAAATTATAATCGGGAATATAAAAAACGGGGAGTCAGTGCTTAGAAAATGGCATGTTTATTCCGTGAAATTGAATTGTAACTTTTGCTTTTGTTGTGTTTTGTTGTTTGTTGTTTCGCATCTGATGAATTTTGAAAAACATGGGTGGTTAGGGTTATGGAAATGGAACATATATGAAAAATGGAAGCAAAATTTACTTTGGAACGAAATTCTTAAGGCCTTTTTTTATATCTAGTGGTGTTCATACTATAAATTTAATAATTATTAACTATGCAGAAATAATACATATCAAATATAATAAGATTTTTTCTCAATATAGTTCAAGGAATGTGTAATTTCATTGCATTTTTTACTGATTTTTGGACAATACTTCTAAAATGCGTTAAAAATTTAACTTTAAAACAACAATCTTATACTCTGAATATGACGAAAAAGCAAAGATGAATATAATTAGGCTCTTACGATATCAATAAGGTGAACTTTACGACGCAATTTTGGATATTGTAAATGATGAAAAATTAATTTAAATTAAAATTTAAAAAATCCATCATGAAATACGAGTGTTATCATTGAAAATGAAAAGCTAGTTTTTTAGCTCTCTTGGCATGATTTGCTCAATACAATAAATCGCATAATAAATAAGTAAAATGTTTTAGAAGGAAAATATTAATATTGCACATACGTTAGAAATAATTGAAAATTTAAAAACATTTGATTATAATCAACATGCGAATCGCCACGATTTTCTAAATAAATTTATGATCTATATATTTTATACGCTTTTAGATTATATCTAATTCATTGGGTACTAAATGCAGAATAATTAAAAATTAATTTTTAAAAAATATGTAAATACTTATATAATTTTAATGATAAACTGTTAAAACAGTTGAAACTAATAGGGGGAGGGGGCGCAAGAAACAAAGTTGCATGCGGGCGCTAAGGGCCCCAGGACCGGCCCTGTATATATTATATTATATATATATATATATATATATATATATATATATTAGTGATGTGCCGACTCGAAAATTTCCTGATTCGAGTGATTCGAATTGGGAAAAAACCTGATTCGAATCATGATTCGAATCAAGTTCATATATGAACAATTATAATTTAAGAGAAGAAATAATATCATTTTAATAATTTTATAAGTGAAATAATTAGTTTAGTAAGCAATTAATTCCAAAAAGTGCAGAGATGAATACATTTATATTATATATATAATAATAAACTAGCTACAAATATAACTAATATTTCAAGTGAATTTACAGTAGAATATCAAAGCGCGGCGTCGCCGTCTAACGCGTAAACATTGGTACGGAACCCATGAGAATGTAAAACAAATTTATACTTATTGTTAAAATCTCTAAAAAATATCTGATAATTTGATGTGCATATGTCTAATGATCATTTTTGACCGCCAAATGGCATTTTTTTTTTACTTTTTTCATTAGATCTCCGAAACCGCTAGACCTGCCTTTATGAAAATCGGTTCTTCACCTTGTCAATACAAGTAAAATGTTTTTTGAATTATTAAAATCGGACGCTCCGTTCTCTTAAAAACTGAGTTACCGTTTTTGGCACTTTTTGCCCCGTATCTTCGGTACGGCTAGACCTGCCTTCGCCAAAAACTAATCAGCACGTCTCCTTATCAATACGAATCGAATGTTTTATGAATTATTCAAATCGGTTGATCGGTGTTCCCGAAATCGTCGACGAAAATTTGTATCCGCACATACATACACACACATACACATACACACACACACATACATCCATTTTTTCTAAGGTATGCCAAAATATTCAGAAACCTTTGAAACGTCGAGAAATGCAAAAATGTTCATTTTCGATTTTTTTGCGATTACTATAACTTGCCCTACGGGAAGTTAATTAATATATGCTAATTTTGTATGTGTATAAAACTCGTTGTGTAGTTTATTTTGATAATAATCAAAATCTAAATAGCGTATTTATTATCTAAATGAGTTTTTGATATTTTATGAACAAATTTGCTCTCAGCGCTTAGTCAAAAATAAACAAACACCCAAGACCCATACGCACTGCATCTCAATAAGTCGATACGCTAAAACACGGACACATGTTTCGAACTCAAGTCGGAATGATTCAGTTTGAGTCATATGAACTCGGATTAATTCATATCGACTTGAAGTCGGGATGAGTCGGTTTGAGTCATAGGAACTCGGATGAATTCATATCGACAAGGAGTCGGGATGAGTCGGTTCGAGTCATAGGAACTCGGATGAATTCATATCACTTGAAGTCGGAATGAGTCGGTTTGAGTCATAGGAACTCGGATGAATTCATATCGACTTGAAGTCGGGATGAGTCGGTTTGAGTCATAGGAACTCGAATGAATTCATATCGACTTGAAGTCGGGATGAGTCGGTTTGAGTCATATGGAGTCGGATGGTATTGTTAGACAATGAATGCGGTTAAAGTCATATAAATTCGAGTCGGGTGATACATTTAAGCGTATTAAAGCCGGCACATCACTAATATATATATATATATATATATATATATATATATATATATATATATATTGGGTAGTGCTGCCCTAGGGCAGGTCTGTGAGCTGAGTTAAACTCCAACTCGATTCAGAGAAGAAGTAGTGTGAGAGTTTTTCCCATTTCCATTTTACACCGCAGTGCTCGAGATAGGCTTATTTTCAATTGGAAACATATTTTGATCTATATTTTCAATTGAAAATGGACATCGCGCTGCCCGATATGAGAATGCCCGATGTGAGATTGCCAGAGCGGGGATTCGAACGCGCGACCCTATCCATCCAAAGTCAACGCGTTAACGACCTTCGCCACGGCGAACCCTATGCATATTATATATATATATATATATATATATATATATATATATATAACAGCACAGCATTATGTGTTATCCGTTACAAGTTGTTCAATAAACTGAGTTTATTGAACTTTGAATTAAACAGTTTATTGAACGACTTGTAACGAATAACACATAATGCTAATTTAGGTTTCCATATTTTAGATTTTAAATTATAATACACTGATGATGAGACAAATCTAGTCTCGAAACGTTTGTAAAATTATTATTTATATATATATATATATATATATATATGTATATTGATTGTTTTTTTTCCGAACAGTAAATCCAATAATAATATCGAGTGTTTTTAACAAAAAAAATATTAGTGATATGGATATATAAATTATTACAGAATAAACCTGATGATGGAACGTATCTAGTTCCGAAACGTCGTATTAAACATCTTCAAAAAACAAATTGTTTTTTATTATTGGATTTACTGTTCGGAAAAGAAACAATCAATATATTGAAAAAATCCAGGATTTATCTATTGAATATATATGTATATATATATATATATATATATATATATATGTATATATATATATATATATATATATACATATACATATATATAGATCCTATAATACCTAATATTAAAAAGTCATCATCTTCACTATCACTCAATTTTTGGAAGGCATTTTTATGTAAAGGGACTCTTTCATTTCCTTCATTCTCTTTCTTATACAAATGCTCTACATTTAAATGCATCTCTTCAGCTTGGGTTGCTGTACTTGGTATGGTATCTGCATGTGATAAAGCATTATGCTCCGACACAATTTCTACTATTTCATTAGCAACACTTTCACAAATTTCAATATTTAATGAGTTTGTTATTTCTTCACAATTTTCTTCTCTTATAGGTTGAATGATTTGATCCGTTTTCGATGGAGGCTCTATTATTTGATCTGTGCTCATCTGTCCTATCAATGGTAGTGTTGTGGTGTCTGTCTCAATATAATTGTTTGCAGGGGGTGCTGCTTTGTCATTTCCTATAATTTCAATATTCAAATTTATGTCATCATTTGCTTGGTCAGCGTTTTGTAGCAATTTATTATTTTGATCATCTTTCAAATCATCACATTTTTTTAGCAAATTAGGTTGAAAAAATAGTTCAGCTTCTTTCGCTCTTTCTTCTAATTGCTTTCTGTAAAAAGAATCAAATATATATCATAAAAAACTGTTAATAACACAAATTATAGACTGTAATTCTTATTGCATGTTCAATTTTTATAGAGAACCAATATTGTGAGATAGAAAAATGTTTGAGATAAATACTTACGCATATCTTAATAGCTCTTCTCCTCTCATATTTATTCTCGGTTTATGTTTCTGCCCAATAATTATTGAAGGTCTTCGAATATTTTTTCTATCTAGAAACTCTTTCAAGTTATTGCACTGTCTTGGCTTATGATATGGAACTTTAATAGAAGCCTCTCTAAAGAATTTTTGAGATTCACTTTGTATCAGCAACATATTTTCCTCTGCTTGTTTAGCTGATTTCTATAAAAATAAATCAAAATTCATAATTTCAATAAACTAATTAATTAATCTTAGTGTTAAATTGCAATATTTTAATAATCCATGGTATCAGGATATGGTAATGCACTATACTATGTATTATAAACATTAAATTCCTAATTACACAATATTTTCACAAAATACTAATTTAAACTAGTGGGGCGCATGCCATCGTGCTTTAAGGCAAATTGCTGGAACTTCCCGTACCGTAACGAAATGTTAACGAGGAATATTAACTGTTTTCAAACAGATTATTATAAATTCTGTAATATCGTTAAATATTTATAAGAATTATATAAACTGATTTGCAAAAATGAAATTATTTGTTTAAAGTATATTAAAACTTTAGTCAGAAAAAAGAATAAAATCTGAATTATTTTATATATATACAAAAAATTCTTTTTGAAAACAAAATTGAAAAAAAAAATTGAACCATTTTTTTTTTCCAAAATCAATTATTTTGTTAAAACAAGCAGAAAGTTCTTTGAATCATTCAAATCAGATGCTTAGTTCTCTCAAACACTGCCATTTTTTGCACATTTAGCTCTGTATCTTCGAAACGGCTGGGCCTGCCTTTGCCAAAAACTAATAACCACTTCTCCCAATCATTACTAATTGAATGTTTTTTAGATGATTCAAATCCGATGCTCCGTTCTCTTAAAAACTCGATTTCTATTTTCTGCACTCTTTGCTCTATATCTCCGTAACTGCTGAACCTGCCTTTGCCAAAAACTACTCAGCACATCTCCCTATCAATAGGAATCGAATGTTTTTTGAACCATTCAAATCGGTTGATCCGTGCGCCCGAAAACGTGAACGAAAAAATGCGGACACACAAAACACACACACACACATTCATTTTTTCTGAGGTACGCCGAAATGTTCAAAAACCTTCAAAACGTCGAGAAATGCAAAAATGTTCAATTTCGATTTTTTGACGATTACAATAAATTACCCTACGGGAAGTTAAAAATCACAAATAGGTAGTGTGTTGTTCGTAGACTAGTTGAAGATATAATGAGAAAAGACTTTTTTTAAAAAATGTTTTTACCAAGATTCTTCACATGTGTGGAACGAATTGCGAGTTCAGATTTATAAAAAAGTTTTTTCCAAAAAACATACAATTCTTTGTATGGCAATCATTACACCAGAATGAGTTTCTGAGTCAGGTAAATCGTTATGTACTGTGGAATTGTCCGCTTTATTCACTTACTGGTTACGGAGTTTATAAGTTTTAAGGGATAGGAGTTATCTGTTAGAATTTTTGTAATTAAATTGATGTTGTCCCAAAATATTTTGTCCGAAAGAAGTATTGCGTGGTCAGTTAGATTTATTATAGTACCTATTTTCATTTTGAGTGAATGATAAAAAAAAAATAATTAAGGTAACGTCCAGAGTTAGTTGGTTTTTGATACCAATTTGTTATTAGTTTGTTATCAGTAGTACGTATAAGTTTTATGTCTAAGAAACTTATCAAGTTCATTGTCTCTAATTCTACTGTAAATTTTAATTTTTCATTGGCGTTATTAAATTGATCAATTATCATAGTGACATCATCACTGGGGATACAAACTTAAAAACTCCGTAACCAGTAAGTGAATAAAATGGACAATTGCACAGTACATAACGATTTACCTGACTCAGAAACTCATTCTGGTGTAATATGTTTACCATACATTAAAGAATTGTATGTTTCTTGAAAAAAACTTTTTTATAAATCTGGACTCCGACTTGTAAACAATTTTAGTACAAAGACTAGTACTATTTTTATCAAAACAAAAACCCCTGTTAATACCAAACGACTTAGAAATCTCGTCTATCAAATAAATTGTCAAGATTGTAATTTAATTTACATAGGAGAAACAAGCAAGAACTTAAACGTTTACAAGAACATAAAAACAATTTAAAAAATCCGAGACAATTTAAAACTATGATTGCAGAGTATATTCATACTTTAAAACACAATATGAACTTATCTAACCCGACTGTACTATAATTCGAACAAAATTTATTTAAACAAAGAATTATAGAAGAGTCTATTTTAACTATTTATAATAATAAAACAATAAATAATCGGAATGAACATTAACACGCTGTGCGACACAAATCTCTTTTATGTAGATAGCATTTTGGAAAATGTTTGAAATTTAAAAAAAATAATCGGTTAAAAAATAAATACACTTGATATCTTACCATACCCCTCCCTCCCTCACGTGATATTTCGTGATTTTTTATCAAATACCCCCTCACTCTAAAAACCTCACGTGATCAATATACACCCCAAAAACAATAAAAACGTCGTGCAAAGGATTCGCAATTCGTTCTACACATGTGTAGAATTTTGGTAAAAATATTTTTTAAAAAAGTCTTTTCTCCATTATATCTTCAACCAGTCTACGAACAACAAACTACCTATTTGTGATTTTTTAAATTAGTATTTTGTGAAAATATTGTGTAATTACAAGTTTAATGTTTGTAATACATAGTGTAGTGCATTACTATATCCTGATTAATAATCCATGGTGATTATTAAAATCTTCCAATTTAGCACTAAGATTAACTAATTGTAAGTACTATTTACTTTTTTTATTTTTTATTTTCACTCCAATTTTTAGTTTCCACTGAATGATGGATAAGATTATAGCCGAAACGTATGGATTTAAAATAAATTTTTGAAAGAAATTCATGCTTTTTATTGATGTTATGCAATTACTAGACTTTGTTAATACATATGTCAACATCAAATTCAGAATTATACAATATATATATATCTTCTATATATATAAAAATAAGTCGGGTTTTCCTTCCTGACGAAATAACTCCAGAACGCACGGACCGATGTCGACAATTTTGCATTCGTTGGAAAGGTCTCGGGCTCCGCAAAGTTTATAGCTAAGAAAATTAGTGGTGCATGGCAAAAATGGATGTATGTGTGTGTGTTCGGATACAAATTTTCGTCGACGATTTCGGGAACACGGATGAAGCGATTTGAATAATTCAAAAAACATTCGATTCGTATTGATAAAGAGATGTGCTGATTAGTTTTTGGCGAAGGCAGGTCTAGCCGTTCCAAAGATATGAGACAAAAAGTGCCAAAAACGGTAACTCAGTTTTTACGAGAACGGAGCGTCCGATTTGAATAATTCAAAAAACATTTTACTTGTAATAACAAGATGAAAAACTGATCAGATTTTCATGAAGGCAGGTTAGCGGTTTCGGAGATCTAGACTTTGTTAATACATATGTCAACATCAAATTCAGAATCATACAATATATATATATCTTCTATATATATAAAAATAAGTCGGGTTTTCCTTCCTGACGAAATAACTCCAGAACGCACGGACCGATGTCGACAATTTTGCATTCGTTGGAAAGGTCTCGGGCTCCGCAAAGTTTATAGCTAAGAAAATTAGTGGTGCATGGCATCGTGCCCTAATGCAAATTGCTGGAACTTCACGCACCCTAATTAAAAATTCGAGTAATAAAAATAATCATTAATTGTTTTAAATAATTGCAAATAGATTATCTTCTATATATATAAAAATAAGTCGGGATTCCTTACTGATCGAATTTTTCCTTTTCAAATATAAAACAAACAAAAAATTTCTTCATCTTTCTCACGAAACCATCTGGTGGCGAAACGGAGTTCGTCGGGTTTGCTAGTATATATATATATATATATATATATATATATATATATATATATATATATATATATATATATATATATATATATATATATATATATATATATATATATATATATATATATATATTTATATTTATATTTATATTTATATATATATATATATATATATATATTATCATGAATTTTTGTAAATACGAAAACTGTCATTATTTTTCCTTTTTACAATAATTCATGATTATTGACTGGTTGGTTGTATCAATGTTCGTGAAAAATTCTGTGATGTGTATACATTTTTAGATATAAAATACCAAGTTCAATATCCACTAATGATGATATCAAATTGTATGTCGAAACGTTTGGAATTAAAGATTATTTTATAAATCCTCGCCTTTTCTTTGTTCGATGTATCGCTCTACAGTCTCAATAATATAACGCACTTGCGGCGTTAACAAAAGGTTTTTTGTTAACGTGTTATAAAAATATTTCGTAAAAGATAAAATAGGCGACAATAAAACCTTTATTAAAACTTTTTACAATCAAGTCTAATTACTAAGGTCATTCATAATAGGTTGCATAGAAGAAATGTATGCATGTTGAGCGAGATTAGTGTTATATGGAGTATATATCGGAAAGATGTCGGATTTTTAGTTCCTTGTAGCATATACGAGTAGGTTGACAGATAAACGTTAGTAATTAAGTTAACGAAGGATTGACTGTATGTACATATATAACTTATAATTAACTTCTCGTAGGGAAAGTTATAGTAATCGCAAAAAAATCGAAAATGAAAATTTTTATATATCTTTACGTTTCAAAACCTTCTGAACATTTTGGCATACCTTAGAAAAAATGGATGTATGTGTGTGTGTTCGGATACAAATTTTCGTCGACGATTTCGGGAACACGGATGAAGCGATTTGAATAATTCAAAAAACATTCGATTCGTATTGATAAAGAGATGTGCTGATTAGTTTTTGGCGAAGGCAGGTCTAGCCGTTCCAAAGATATGAGACAAAAAGTGCCAAAAACGGTAACTCAGTTTTTACGAGAACGGAGCGTCCGATTTGAATAATTCAAAAAACATTTTACTTGTAATAACAAGATGAAAAACTGATCAGATTTTCATGAAGGCAGGTTAGCGGTTTCGGAGATCTAGTAAAAAAAAGTAAAAAAAAAAATGCCATTTGGCGGTCATAATGATCATTAGACATGCACATCAAATTAACAGATATTTTATAGAGATAACAATAACTATAAATTTTGTTTACATTCCTATGGGTTCCGTACCAATGTTTATCCGTTTTAATTTTTTCAGAGTAAATTTTTTTCAAAAATGTTAATCTTTTTTAAAAAAATAATTTTTGGTACGGAAAGTTCCAGCTATTTGCCTTAAGGCACGATGCCATGCGCCCCACTAGTTTTCGATTAATTAAATAAACAATTAAGCAAGTAAAATTGTATGTTAATCAGAATTCATTTTCAAAAGAGTACTGAAGCTACAAAATGAAGTATTGTTCTAATTGTCATTCGAATAAATAATAGTAAACTTACTCTCTGAACTTTATTTGATCTATCCTTGGGTAATGGTATTTCATCTTCATTACTATCTGAGTTTTCATCTTGAGATTTCTAGATAATTAAAAAAAAAGTTTATTGCAAAATTCATATAGAACACACATATAGGTATATATATATATATCTATATATATATATATATATATATATATATATATATATATATATATGTTGAACAAGTTAGTTTTGATGTTGAGAAATATTAGTAAGTTCTACAAGGGCAATACATCAAATAAAAGGCAAAGATTTAGAAGTTAATCTTTAATTTTTTCCAAACATTTCAACATAGGATTTTATGTCATCATCAGTGGATCTACAGAATGAACATTGAAAAATCAATATAAACTAGGAAAAAATGACAGAAATTGGAAAAAGAACTATAGATACAAGTATTATAATTATAACAATAACAATTATAACTAAACAGATAGACAAACATAAGAATTGAAAAGTAAAAAGAAATATATACAAACATATACAAAAGCGTAATATATATATATATATATATATATATATATATATATATATATATATATATATATATATATATATATATATATATATACATAAATATACATATAAACAGACATATATATACGATATACATGTACAAACACGTACATATATACATATATATATATATACACATAATACGTATATATATATATATATATATACACATATACATACACAAATATACACACACACATATATATATATATATATATATATATATATATTTTGTAGAGTTTCGAACAAGAATCCAAAAATAATACAAAATAAAAAAACAAGAAAAGTTTTTAATAAACAATTTCTTTATTTAATTATTTGTTTACTGTCAACGTTTCGGAACTAGGTACGTTCCATCTTCAGGACATCTGTCAAGAAACATGATCTTGATGAGATTTAAGCAAACAATATGTTTAGGAATAGAAAATAGATTTTTCTTAAATAATAAATTAATTATAACAAATAATAATGTACAGAAATATGATAATATGTTCAAAATGAAAATGATAAAAATAAATGAGTGGATTATCAGAACAGGATATTAAAAATGATAGAAATTTTTTGAAAGTTATGGAAAAAAATTTTTTACACTTTTTGACAAACAATTAATATCGACTTCCCTTTAAGTTCAATAATTTAAGTATTGGGGTGTACCTAACGTGAAAAAACACACACATACAATCTCACAGTTCTCGTTTCAAGTGTTTACACGTGTTACATATGAACCAGCAAATACAATTAGTTCGCTTCCAAAAGCCAATAGTATAACATCGAATACAATATTATTTGTTTTCAAATAATAATTTTTTAAAAAAAAAGACAACACTTTTAGTAATTTTGATTTACAAAAGTTAACTATTCGGCGGAAAAATAACTCACAAATTCATTTTTTATCAAAAATTCTTGTTTAGTGAAAAAGTGCTAACGGATATTCAAACATACAGGTAATTAATTCAATTTTATCATTAATCCTTTCTTTAAAATTTTTTTTCCATAACTTTCAAAAAATTTCTATCATTTTTAATATCCTGTTCTGATAATCCACTCATTTATTTTTATCATTTTCATTTTGATCATATTATCATATTTCTGTACATTATTATTTGTTACAATTAATTTATTATTTAAGAAAAATCTATTTTCTATTCCTAAACATATTGTTTGTTTAAATCTCATCAAGATCATGTTTCTTGACAGATGTCCTGAAGATGGAACGTACCTAGTTCCGAAACGTTGACAGTAAACAAATAATTAAATAAAGAAATTGTTTATTAAAAACTTTTGTTTTTTTATTTTGTATTATTTTTGGATTCTTGTTCGAAACTCTACAAAATATACACAAATCCAAGACTCTACCATTCAATATATATATATATATATATATATATATATATATATATATATATACATACATATACATATACAGACGCATACACATATATAAACAACAAAGGTAACTTATATAAATAAGGTCTTAAATCAGTAACTAGCGTATGGCACATAATTTTGCAAACTTTTTTTGTTTTTGTTGAACAGAGCATAGCAAAATATTTGTGAAATATAATATTTTTGCACGGAAGAAATAGTTTATGCGTACATTCCCGAGGCAGTTGTGTCACATATGCTTAAAAATTATTTGGAGAGACCGAAGGATAGTTGGCGAGTTTTTTTACAATCAGTGTTTCGAAGTATGGGTGAAAAGGCTAAGATTCAAAGTTCGGGATCGTACCGTGTAAGGATAGGTTTACAGGTTCGGAATTAAGCTAGTTAAGAGGAAACAAATTTGGAAATATTATTGGGTATCACCTGATAATTTTCATAGAGTAAAGAGGCATCACACCTTTTATTAATGCAAGATTTAGTAATGCTGATTAGACAAGATTCAGCAAACCTTCTCTGAATAATGTTCCGTTCGTGATAAAGTATACTAGCGTTATAAAAGTTAAAAGAATGTTTAAAATTTTGTTCTGTTATCATGGTTTGATTTTGTCGTGGGTTTTTTGAGTTATTATCATGTTGTTTTAGTCGTTTTATTAAATTCTGTCCAGTTTCACCTATGTAAATGGAATCACAATCATTGCATTTTAATTTATAGACAATATTTGATGTGCGTTCTAAACTAGTGAGTGATTTGGCCCTCAGCTCTCTTTTTTCCAACCTCAAATCACCCACTATAAGTGGGTATAATAAATTAAAATGCAACGATTGTGATTCCATTTACATAGGTGAAACTGGACAGAATTTAATAAAACGACTAAAACAACATGATATATATATATATATATATATATATATATATATATATGTATATATGTACGTGTTTGTACATGTATATCATATATATATATATATGTCTGTTTATATGTATATTTATGTATATATATATATATATATATATATATATATATATATATGTATATATATTACGCTTTTGTATATGTTTGTATATATTTGTTTTTACTTTTCAATTCTTATATTATAATTATAATACTTGTATCTATGGTTCTTTTTCCAATTTCTGTCATTTGTTCCTAGTTTATATTAATTTTTCAATGTTCATTCTGTAGATCCACTGATGATGACATAAAATCCTATGCCGAAACGTTTGGAAAAAATTAAAGATTAACTTCTAAATCTTTGCCTTTTATTTGATGTATTGCCCTTGCAAAACTTACTCATATATATATATATATATATATATATATATATATATATATATATTTTATATATAAAAATGGATCGCAAAATGTGTTGGTAAGCGCATAACTCAACAACGCCTGGGCCAATTTGGCCAATTCTTTTTTTAAAATGTTTGTTTATGTGCAAGGATGGTTCTTACGGCGAGAAAAATTCGAATAATCGTCGGGAAAACCCTAAAAACAGCCCTTTTCTAACTAAAAAAAATAATCGTAGTCGGCTTCTCGATATTATTTTTTTTGTTTTACTCTCGGCAGGCGATAAAATTGGTATGGCTTTAAAGAATTTGCATTCAAGTCATATAACATTAAAACAATCAATGTCAATGTCCACTTGCCGCCCTTGCCTGTGGTGTTTTTCTTGCATTTTCTGTTATACTTTTGTTTTGTGCGATTGATCAAATTTATTCAGTACATCTAAGCCATGGTGAATGTTTTTATTTACGACTGCTATTAGTCAATGTACGTGGCCCAATATCATTCCAACATTTACGAACTGTTGATGGTGAATTGTGTGGATCCTACAGAGAAGCCCGTCAACGTTTACAATTGCTAGAAAATGACGCTCATTGGGATCAAATTCTCAGTGATGCTGTAATATCTTCACACGCTCATAAAATACGAACATTGCTTTCCATAATCATATCCACAGGCTTTTCATCAAACCCAATTGATTTGTGGAAGTACAAAGATTATATGTGTGATAAATACGGAATAAAATGGGAAATCCAAATATGCAAATCAGTAAAGAAAGTTACAACGAAGCATTGATTTCAATTGAAGACATGTGCTTGATGATGTCAAATAAAGTATTAATTTACTTAGGCCTGGCCGCGCCCAATCGTCCAATGCATGATGCTTTTAACCAAGAGTTGCATCAAGAAAAATTGTATGATCTCAGCAATTTGAAAGAATTAATCGAAACAAATCTTCCACTGTTGAATGAACAACAGAGGTATGTATTTCATATTCTTATGAAAGTAACAAATGATGGAACTGGGGGGATTTACTTCTTAGATGCGCCTGGTGCTACAGGAAAAACTTTTTTGATTTTATTAATATTAGCAACAATTCGCTCACAAAACAAAATTGCACTTGCACTCGCTTCATAGGGAATCGCAGCAACTTTACTCGAAGGTGGTCGAACAGCCCATTCAGCACTAAAATTGCCATTAAATATGCAAAGCAATGAAACTCCACCTTGCAACATTTCGAAGAACTCTGCAATGGCTAAGGTTTTGCAGCAATATCAATTGATTGTTTGGGATGAATGCACGATGGCACATACAAAATCTTTTGAGGCTTTAGACAGAACCTTAAAGGATCAACAGAGCAATCAGAACCGATTTGGTAGATTTTTTTTGACAGGACGAAGTCTGTCGGGTCAGCTACTATATATATATATATATATATATATATATATATATATATATATACATATATAAAGCAAGAGGTTTTTCTTCAGATGGTGAAATAATATAATAAAATTGTTTCTTGGGCATACATCCAGTAATTAAAAAACAGTTTTATTGAAAAATGTTTTTATTTCATTATTAACTTCCCGAAGGAGGAGAAGTTTATGTTTTCATAAAAAAATCCGATTCGCTAATTTTATGTTTTCTCGACGTTTCTGAAGACGTTTCAAGCCATTCTGAATCGAATGAGACCAAATTTGAAAAAAGTATGTGTGTGTGTGTGTATGTGTGTGTGTGTGAACAGATTTTTTGCCGTAAATCGACGTTTTCTCCAAAACGGCTGGACCGATTTCAAAATTGATTTATTGCCATTTGATGTATCTCGATGAGGACTATCGTTTCTAAGTTTTGTGCGGCGATCGGCCGGGCCGTTTCTTTAACATGGGTCAACACACACGTAACTCAGTCTCCAAACTAACAACATGTTCGTTTGGAATAAGCTTTTTTATAATAAAACATATTATTTATTTTAATTTTACAATTTTCAAAAAAATTTCATAACTTGACGTCTTTTCAATTTTTTATTTCATGTTTATTTTTTCGTTACAATTTTGTGTTGTTTCTTTGTGTTATTTTTTAAAAAAAATTTTTTTAAATTTATTTGTATGCACTGAAGATGGGTCAAATCTAGACCCGAAACGTATGTTCCCTTAATAAAAACATTTTTCAATAAAACTGTTTTTTAATTATTGGATGGATGCCCAAGAAACAATTTTATCATATATATATATATATATATATATATATATATATATATATATATATATATATATACTAGCTGACCTGGCAAACGTTGTTTTGCTAAGTAAGGTATATTCTAAACAATTTCTACAGAATCAAAAAAATTAATACTTTGAGTGTATAAGGATGTGTTGTATGAATGCTATGTACAATGATGCATTATTAAAACAATAAACCCCATTAGTTTATCTATATTTTGCCAATTCAATCAAGCTGGAAGTTTTATGTAGAAAACATGGTATAAATCAATCCAAGTATTTTTTGGTCTTTCGACTTATTGATTACGTTTCAAGTTTTTCAGATTCTTTTTGGATTTGGGATTTTGTGTATAATTATAAATAATACTACTGAGCTTAAACAAAATTTTCAAATTTCTGCGAGGAGAGATAGAAAATGAATTAAGTATTTATTCTTTGACCTGCTTTTTAAAAAGTTTCGATGAATTGAAGTAAATTTAATAAAAAGTATATATGTAAAGCAGGGCTTGGCACAAAGGTCCAATTTGACTTTGAGCAAATATAAACTATATTATGAAAAGCAAACCAACTATATCACAACAAATAACACATTTCAAACGAACAATTATCTGGCTACGTTCAGTAAAACTGCCAGCTACTTCATCATTGTAAAAATGTGCTTTTTTGCTGTCTTTAAAAAAATTGTTATGTGGACTTTTTACCCCATAGACAGAGTAACTTGGAACGGCCAGGTAGCAAACAGGTTTAATGTCTTATTTTAATTTTAAAAGTATTTTACAAAATAATTACACTTTTAACTAATGCTAAAAACTACTAACGGAAGAAAATACTTTTATTATGGATTTTCAAAGATTACAGTTTATCTCCAGATAGCAAAGTCATAAGAATCAAGATTATAGCTGGTTATACATCTTTTTCCCTCTACAATGCTTAACTTAACTGATTTTTGACACATCTATGGTGGACCTTTTTAACCCCGGACCTTTATATATTACTATCTATCCTTCGATAAATTCTGGGAAATTATAACTGGGAAAATGTCATTCGTCAAAATGTCCCTTTGATCGATACCAAATTTAGGTTCTGAATTTAAATAACATAAATAAAAAATATAATAATATAACCTAGAAAATGTTTTATAAATACCAGTGAGTATATAATTATACAAATGAGATCTTTCAGAGCACCGTGTTTGAGAAAAATATGCCAAAAAGTGCATTTTCATATTAACATATCAAAAAAGTTTATATTTTGAGTCTCTAGTAACACTTGCGGCCCATTTTCTAAAGTTTTTGTATATAAATAAAACTACAAACAAAACTACTTACTACAAATTTATCATAAATAAATAATATTCGCGTAAAACATCCTATTAAACGTAATTAAACATCATCTGTCAAAAGCGTTTGACATTTCACCGTCGATTGTTTTATTTAAATTACGCTTCAACAAAAATTTTCAAATTAAAAATGTAAAGTTTCTACGCGGATTTGAAATAATTTCCCACCTTTTGGACTTTCTCTGGATTGGCACGAACTTTTCAAGACTAAGACTGGCCAAATCGATTCAGCTGTTTTCGAGTTTTATTCGGACATTTGAAAGAGAGCTCCATTTTTATATATAAGATATATATATATATATATATATATATATATATATAAGATATATATAAGATAATAGATAAGTCCTGGATTTTTTCAATATATTGATTGTTTCTTCTCCGAACAGTAAATCCAATAATAAAAAACAATTTGTTTTTTGAAGATGTTTAATACGACGTTTCGGAACTAGGTACGTTCCATCATCAGGCTTATTCTGTAATAATTTATATATCCATATCACTAATATTTTTTTGTTAAAAACACTCGATTTTTTTGGAGGATATTTGTAGATGTTACAACTACACAAGACTTATCAGTGTGTTTAAGTACACATATATATATATACACATATATATACATATATATATATATATATATATATATATATGCACACATATATTTTAAAGATCTCACCACATCGCCTTCATTATTATTCAGAGCTTCATCATCTGAACTTTCGCTTTCAGCAAATTTTTTCAATATATCCTACAGCAAATCAAATAGATTTTGTTAATATACCTTTATTGCATGTATACTTCAAATGTAAATAACATTAACTAACAAACTGAAAATGGAGGATACCTCATGATTTCTATATTTGCTTCTTTCAGATATGTCTCTACTTTGTTCATTCACGGACATCGATGTATCCTGTTTTAATAAACAAAGACATATATATATATATTTTTTTTTGTTCATATTCAGTTATTTTGTTCATATTAAACAATTAATATATATATATATATATATATATATATATATATATATATATATATATATATATATATATATATATTAAATTAAATTTAACATTATAGAGGCAAGTTTTTATATTTGATATATAAAATGAAGATATTTTTTCAATTATAATATAAAAACATAAAGCAAGAATTAATATTATAAATTCGAAATTTAAAACTTACCGCAAATGATTCGGGATTACTTTCCTCTGAGTCAGAATTTTCAGAGTCTATAATCCGTGCTGACTTCTAAAATGTAACTTGATATTTACAATTGTTTAACCATTTTTCAAAAATATAATGACATTTTTAGTAAAATTCAAGTGCATTAAATTATATGGGTACTATTATCATACTTGTACTTACTTCTCTATGTTTCACAATATTTTCATTTGATTCTTCATCGGAACTTTCAGCTAAAATAGTTCTAACATTATCTAATTTCTGAAACACAAATTCCGAAAAAAAAATCTATTACTATCTAATTCAATTCTATCCACTACTTACTTTTTGTTTATATTTGTTAACATCTTCTTCGTCTGAACTTTCAGAATCAAACAGGATTAGTTGTTTTATTTAAATATTAAATTTAATTACAAAAATTAAATTATCGTCATTCTTTCATGTATTAAATTACATAGATTTTAGTATCGCAACAGATAATAGAAATAAGTGATACAATAATGTTAAATTACAAGAGTTTTTAATGATAAAAGTCATTCTCAGCATATATTATTATTGACAAGAGTATTAAATTAAGACAATGACAATAGTATCAAATTAGAGATTAATTAAATAAGCATTCTATTAGCAATTTGTATGATTACCTTATTAGCTAAAATACTATCAACACTATTTTCACTATCAGCATTCATAAGAATAGCACTATTGTCTGCAGTATTTGAAGTTTCTAATTTTTCTTGAGAAGTAATGGTGCCTGAGCCTATTTGTACATCTGTATTCACAGAAAACTCCATTTTTCTAAGTGAGATCTTCAATTTAAAATTGTATACACTTTCAAATAATATTTAATATAATAACAAGTAATTAAAATGCATCTTAAAACATGAAACACTTAACAAAATCCTTATGTATAATATATTTATAATTCACATGAAAAAACAATGCTAACGAGAAGAAGTTGATATGTATAAACCGCCAAAAATAAACTTTTGACAATCAATTTCAGCAACCTTAAATAAATAACTGTGAAGTTGTGGATTAGAATCATAGACAATTTCATGGACTGCTAGTCCCATGGCCGGTAACCTCCGAACAAATGTAGATTACCCCATGGGGAGTTATCTTCGAACAAATGCGCGTTGCACTGTTTTGGTCCTGAGTAGTTTCAATTTTTAAAAACAGATGGCTCATGTGCACTCAATTTCAACTACAAATTGTTCGTGGTTCATGCAAGTGGCTGTCAAGTATTTGATCGCTGTATGACTGTACGAATAACCTAACTTTTTGAACTCGTGTTGTTTCTAATTAATTAATTTTGTTTAAGTGAACATTTGTGAAATTTAATATGGCAAAGTGTTTTTATAGTACCCAAAAAAGTGTCAAGTGCGGGTTAAAATATTTAGCTATTCCAATACAAGTTTCCGCAAAGGTATTTTTTAATAATAATTGCAGCAATAATTATATATAATCAAGATATGTCAACATGTTATTATATTGAATAGGTGTCTTGGGGGTACCTGCAAATTGCTGCAAAATGCACGAACAAAGCGCAGGAGTACTTTTGACAACCAAGGAATGCAATATGTAATGACAAGAAGGATTCATAAACAATGCAATAATTTAAGGAATAAGTCGTACAAAAGTCTCCAAAGGTCTACTATTTTTGGAGACAAATATTTATTTTGCCATGTCCTCAAACATTGAGAAAGTTGCATTCAGAGATACAAGTGTATAGCGGTATTTATGAGTGTCTATTTAAAACATTAGGTTCAGCTATTTCTTTTAAAAAGTATTAGTAGCAGATACTGTGTTTTGATGTTTGATGAAATACCATTATCTTCGGAATTGTTATATGATTGGATTGAATCTCATATTGTTGAAGTTGCAAAACAGTTATTCAGCTAGTATGGTTTAAATGTTCATCAACGTAAGTTCATTGTTATATTTAATAAGATTATCTATTACATTAGCAAATGTAAACACTTATAAAGTAAACTAGTATTGGTTTAAATGTTCATCAACGTAAGTTCATTGTTATATTTAATAAGATTATCTATTACATTAGCAAATGTAAACACTTATAAAGTAAACTAGTATTGGTTTAAATGATTATCAACGTAAGTTCATTGTTATATTTAATAAGATTATCTATTACATTAGCAAATGTAAACACTTATAAAGAGAGTCTATACCATACATAATAATTTAATGTATTTTGATTGAAGATTATTGTTATAATATTCTTCAAATAAAACTTGTGTTACATCCCAATATAATGTTTAAATTCAAGATATATTTGTTACCGACTTTGGGAATCAAAAATATTGCTTTTATCTTTTGATTCATAAACAATTGTATGTGCATAAAACATTATTCTGTTCATTGTAAACACTTTGTTGATCTTTCATGGCAATTTCAATGATAATGTTTTCATGATGGAACATGGCTAAATGTAATGTTATAAAACACTCGCATAGTAACTATTCAAAGGTTTTGTTAAATGCAACTTTACTATTAATTCATTAGATAGCGAAATAACTATTACATGCAGAATTAATAAAGAACAATGTCTCGTAAATGAGTTTTAAACCTAGGAATTTGAATTTCTTTCAATTTTGATATCAATATATATATTTTATGTGTTTAGGACTTTTTTGTTTGTGAAGTATTTGTACTTTTTAACAAATTATTTGTTTTTTTCTTAACCCTTTAAATTTTTGTATTATTTGTCATTCCTTCTAAATTTGTAATTTCATTGCGTGCTCCTGTGCTTGTAGTTTCTTCTTAGTTTTTAAGATTTTAATATATTAATATTAGTCATTAAGTAATTAATATTAGTCAGTTATTTGTGCTTAGTTTAGTTAAATACTTCTGTGATTTTCTTCACTTAGATATTTAGTTTTTGAAATATTTTATTTAAGCATAATTGTGAAATTATAATACTTTTATAATTATGTATAATAATTATTATATTTTCAAACATTCCATAACTGTAATTATAATTGTTAATATAAACATAATTTTAATTGTTCTTTAAACATATATATCTTTGAAAATATATATTTTGTATTTCGTATGATTTGTTCTTATTTCCAATATTAAAAATTATTCAGGTTTTTGGGGCTGTATACGATACGTACTAATTAAGAAGTAACACCAGGGGTAATTTAAATATTATACATGTGCTGCCATCTATTTTTAAAAATTTGTATTCCAATCGAGGTAACGTCAAACCGCCAGACATAGCGATCTATTATACTTGTTTATCTATGGATTACCCTGTTTTGAAATGGACTGGTATTTGAATAGTTCGAAGGATGGCGCTACGATTTCCAATTTCTTTGATATTCGCTCCGAGCGTGACTGCAGCGCCCATGCAGCGCCGTAATAAATATGAACTAATTGGGGGTATCAGTGTGTGGTTTTCATGGGTTTTACATGTTTGTTAAAGAAAAAAGATATTAAATAATTGTTATAAATAATAATAAACAAGATACAGTAATAATGTGAACGCTGAATGTTTATTGAAATTTTTAAATTTACTTCAACGTACTTAAAACATAGTTAAGTATAATGATTAATTAAATAAAGAAATGCAGTAAATAATTTTAAGGTTAAGTGCCTCAAAGCTTATGTCATAATCTCGGAATAGTTCTTAATAAAAACAATATAATAATGATAAATAGTATTTTATCAATAGAATAAGTAAATAATAAATTAATTTACTCATTTTTTTGGTCAAACTAAAGACTTAGACACTACTATAAAGACATAATTTAGACATTATTATAAAGACAAGACCAAGTTGACAAGTAGGTAGGACTCAATACCTCGACCGATTCACTGCAAATGCGATCATAGGGCTTGGGAACCCACGGTGATCCATCAACACTACAAATATATATTTCGCATTATTTCAGCACTGTATTAATTAAACTGTTTGCAAAATAAACATTTTTTCGCTATGTGATAACTTTTATTTTTCTTTTAATCATAAAATTACAATTATTATATAATAAAATGTTATTAATATATAGATAATAGTTATACATAATCAATATACAATATATAAATATGTATTTTTCATTATTTCAGGCTTGTATTAATTACATTGTTTTACAAAACATTTTTTTAGTAAGCATTAAATTTTGATAATACAACAATTTATTGACTTATAATTTTTCTTTTTCTAAACATAACAATTTTACAACTATTCATAATACTCCAAATTGTATTTTTATAACAATAAGGTTATGATACTTACTTTATTCTTCTAACCGCTGCGATCCACTTTTCCCGTTGATTTTCTTTCCACTTAGCTGTAGAAAATGTATAGAACTTGCAGTCACTTTTTCTGCTGGTATTTCTACAACCCACTACACAATAGACATGGTGGTTCATTTTTAATTATCTTATTTAAATTTGAAATAAATAAATATTTTATGTGTTTTTGTTTAAAATTTTGTTTATAATAGCCCCTTTTAGTGCTCCAAGTTAGCCACTACGAACGCTTCGGTCGATTTGACTTCCCCTTCCATGCCTTCGCACATAGCCAATAGCAGCTGGCTTGATCTACATTGATTTGATCGGCCATTTTCTATAAGTTGTCAAGTTGTCATCGCGTATTGTAGTTGAGATTTTCTGTGATTGTTTATATATAATTATGTTTTGGTGAATACTTTTTTCATTTATTATTAAGTTAAAATGATAAAGTGTTATGTGCCAAATTGTTATAACCCCAAATATAATAAAAAAATGCATGTCTTTCCGGCATCTAATTATCAGGTATGTACATAATGATGTATTATGCATATAATGAATATGTATCATCACAATAATATTAAAATGTTATATATATATATATATATATATATATATATATTTGTGTAAATATATATTATATATATTTGTGTGTAAAAAGATGTTTTCAATTTGGATGCAGAGGGCGAATAATCTTTTAATGGATGACCTAACTCTTTGGTTTGTGGTGCAAATTAACAATAATTTGAAATCGAAACCAAATAGAAGTGTCTCCTTTACGGCAATAACAGAATAGTTTTCAAGTCACTGGAGAATGCTCTAATACAGAACCAGAAGAAAAATCTGCAACTCCAAGGACAAAGCCAAGTAATTATAACTCTAAATACTTCAATAACATTTTCAAAAAAATATTAATAAATGAATCTTATGTTCTTAGGAGATGGAAGCCTAAACACCTTGGAAAAGATTTTTGCAGCACCTCTAAGATTGTGAAGTGCAGGTTAAAAGTCACCTATTCTGACACCAGTTTTCCGAAAAGGTATTTTTTCATACTAATTGTAGCAAAAATATTTAATATGATAATTACAATATCTTCAATTAATATGATATAACAATATATTCAATAGAAGTCCTTGATGGTAGCAGCAAATTGCCGCAGAATGCAATGATAGGGCGTAGGAGTGCCTTAACACCCAGAAGATGTATGATACATCAAATTTTGTTTCGGGATTAAAATGCAATGCAATAATTTAAAGGATAAATTCCAACAGAGTATACAATGTTCTGAGAAGTTTTCAAATATTCCGGAAACTTAAAATGTAAGGGCAAGAATTTTGATAATGTCTCAATTAAGAGAGCATACTCAAAGACCAGACAGTTTATAAAGCGCAAGGGTTTAGTTATAGTTTTAACTAAACCTCCTTGCAATAAAAACTGGATTAAAACGATAGATAGATTTGAGCTACAATTGGTATAAATTAAAAGTAGTTCAGGGTTATGGTTACTTACGTTTAAAAAAACACATATACAGAAACTATTCAAAGATTTCGTCAAATATAACTTTATTAGTGATTGATTAGATAGCAAAATAACTATTAAATGGAGAGATAACAAACAAGAATAACTCATAAATGAATTTTAATCCTAGGAATTTAGTTTTATCTCAATTTGGATATCAATATATATATATTTTGTTTT